ATATATATATATATATATATATATATATATATATATAGCCATACCTTCGCAAATGCATCACGGCCTGGGAGATCGTTTATGTATGTTACGAACAGGATGGGCCCCAGAATCGTACCCTGGGGGACACCTGAGGAATCATAGCTACTGAGTCTAACCAGATTATTTACAATGACGTACACCAATCATTACGAGAGAGGCATATAAAGAGCAGCATGTAAAAAAAATAAGTTCGAATATTAGTTTTTGAAGATAGTGTCCGTCTAGAATTGAAGTACAACGACAACTGCAGAAAGATTCTAGAATTAAGTCAACCAACCGACCGACAAATAAACAAACAAACAAACAAACAAACAAACATCCCTACATCTACCTTGTTCTGCCGAAGTACAGAGACTCCTTCCTGTTGGTAGTTGGAGAGGTATCCAGGGTCGTGAAGCCGTATGACGTCGTCTTCCTGCCAAGATGCTGCAAGGTCATGGCCGCTCTGGAGATGGGGTCAGAGTTCACGCCGTCAGGGTCATCTGTTTTGGCGGGAGACGCTTCGGCGCAGTCCGGACGAACCCAGACCCCGAACCGCCGAGCCCGGGGCCTCACGGGTGAGCGCGGCGGCGTGGAGTAGCTCCCGCACCCGTCCGACTCCCGACTGTTCTGCCTGGACACTGTATGAAAAACCACGTTTCCAAGAGTTTCCAGTCCCGCACACGCCCGTGAAATTCGCCGTGTCCTGGTCGCGTCCATGGATTTCCGGGCTCCGCATGTACGGCCCCGGATATTTCCTTACACTCCCGGATTCGTGCTCGCCGTGCACGTGCACGGAAATTTACGCCCCGCACACTTGGCGTGTGTTGGGGAGCGGCTAACAATAAGGGGTAATTAGGTACTGCGTGTATTCATGTTTCAGGTGATAATTACTTGAACCAAAGTTGCCAGTACTTTAATCTCAGCAAATTAGATATAGAATGATCAAGGATTGTTAATACAACATTTGAACCTATGCGTCCTTGGCTTGATTTATCGTGATGTCGTCCATACGACAAAGCACATTTGAGCGTAGGGCGCCCCGACGCTGGGGTTATATAACCTACTCGGTCAAAATGACCTAAATCTACACTCCGGTCTAAATCTGAATTTTTTATTTTGGAAATAA